AGCTGGCACCACTAGAATTTCAACAACTAAAGCTCAAACCGAAAACAGCCAAGGCCCACCCGAAACTAGCCAACTTCCCCAAAGGACATGATGAACCCCAAAACCAGCAAACCCAAGGTAAGCATAATCCAAACCAATTCCTACCATGATCATAGGATTTACCACCATCATTGGATAGCTTAAAAATAAAACAAAAATAGAAAATATAACTAATATTGTTCAAAACAAAAATAATGCAAAATTCTAAATGCATCAAATATACACTTGGTAGATTTTGAATCAAACTTACTCCTAGATCCTGTATCAATATGAATATAGGATGAACAATAAAAAATTTTGAGGTGAGATAAACTGACCTCCTTTTCACTCCAGGATTCCTTAGGCCTCATTAAGAGGAATAGGATCACGATTGATCAGATAAATAATGGTATTTACTAGCTCTACCCAAAAATATTGCATGCAGCCTCATGCTCTTGACACACTTAGTGATAATTCTATTCATGCACTCTGCAACATTATTCTACTGTGGTGTTCTTGGAATAATGAACTCATGCTTGATCCCATTCAAAGCATAATACTCAAACTTCTTATCACGATATTGAACACCATTATTTGATATGGACACTCGAGCTTTAAACCTGTCTCAATCTCAATCATGACTTTTCACTTTTTGAAAATATCAAACATATCTAACTTGTATTTTAAGAAGTATATCCATACCTATCTATTATGATCATTAATAAATGTGACAAAATAGAGAGAACCTCAAATAAAAGAAACCGATGCATAACCTCATACATCAGTATGCACTAACTCCAGTTTCTTGGACTTTACTTTTGAACTAGTTTTTGAAAACTCACATTTGTTTCTTGTCATACACACAATCTTAACAAAAATTAAAATTTAGAGATTTTAAATCAGAAGGTTTTTCCTAGTAAGAAGTGAATGCATATATTTCTTACTCATATGATTAAGTCTTTGATGTTAAAGACCTCAATCAATATCTGAATCAGCTACTCCAATATAATATGATCTTTTATTGATAATATGCAAGGTTCCTTTAATACTGCTATGAGTTATAAGCATAGCCCCTTTTATCATCTTTCACTTTAAGCTGACTCACAAAAACTAAATTCATTTTCACACCAGGAGCATGCCTAACATCCTCGAGTCTCCAAGTTAACCTCTCTGTCATTCTGATATCAACATCTCCATATCCTAAAATGCTATAAGACTCTCCCAGATACACTTTTGGCCAAATCACCTTCTATGTAGTTCTTGAACATCTTTGTAGGACTTGTGTGAAATGAAGCACCTAAATCTATAACCTAAGATCCAAAATTATCTAGAGAAAAAAATCAGAGAATCTGATTGAAACTCTTCTGCAGATACATTTGCAAAGTGTCTTTTATCTTAACCTCCCCCCACTAGCCTTGTTTAGAATTGTATAGTCATTATTCAAGCGACCATTCTTACACAAGAAATCCACTATGAAAATTGGGAGAAATAGTATAGATCTCTCTTCTCTCTCACTCTCTCCTTGTCTCTCTTCTCTCTTGCACCATTCTTACACAAGAATAAACATAGAGATACACAACAAAACCAAGGGATGCAACCCTTACTCAAAAACAAGAAAGAAAACTACTCTATCCTCCTTGCAGTGTTGTGGTGCCAAGTTGGATCGCCGCGAAACTCAATTCTCTATCTCCTGTCTGTATGAAAACACTGTAGTGTCGGGGTCTGGTATGCCACAGTGCCTTAGGCAACGCCGCCGCATCAAGATTTGGAGTGTCACAGCACTTCGCTTTGTCTTTTTCCACCAAAATTTGCAATGCTAGAGCGCTCTGGTACACAACGCTAGGGGTACTGTTTGAAAAAAAATCAGGTGCTAGGGGAAAACCCCCTACAACCGCCCAACGAGCTCAATAAATTGAATTGAGGTCCAAGGCAATAGTACAACCCGATTAATCAACACAATCAAATTACACGCAGAACTAACAAGCTTATAACAATATTAATTGATAATTATCAATGGTGATTCTAAAAAATATGGATATTTAGTTTCTATTTTTGTTCTATTATCCTAAACCATTTATGTTCTTGCAGTTTCCTACATTGTACTAGCTTTTCACTTTAAAAGATGCATCACCTATCATAATTAATCAAATTGCCTCAGAGTAGTTATCTTGCATAAGCATCTTGATCAATTATAAACATCTTGATGGAAAATATAAAAGAATATATACATGTAATGCAATCCTACTGTGATTGGAAAATCTTAGATTTTTAGAAAACTGCTTTTAAGGTTAGGAATTGTTGTGTCATATGTGTTTTATAACTTAAATGTACTTTGATCAACTTTTTTTCTCTTTAAAGCCTACCAAATCAATTCGTTTGAAACCTGATCATGTCTTCTAGAGATCCATAACAACTCATATCAAGATCATTTTTGTTGTTGTTTATATTATTCATCAAGAATCTAAGAAAAAAACTAATCTACATAGTTGATTTTTTATGGCATAAAGTTGAATTGATACTTTACAAACATGATTTGAGACTATGTTCCTTAATCCTTTACATAACTTAATTGTATGACTCATAAGCTTGAAACTCCTCTATTTATCATATAGCTGATAATCTGCTTTGTGCTCGACAAATTGGCACTAAAATGTTTTCTTTAATATTTCATGAAAGAAATTTGTTTCCACTGTCCTAATTACTCTACTATACTCATTTAATCTATATGAGGCCTAAATTTGATATTTCTCTAATTACCATATATCTGACTATTCATGTGCTAAAGAAACTCTGAAAAGTTTTCTTTAATATTTCATTAAAGGAGTTTGCCGACCAAATTGCGTTACTTTCTTCCATAATTCATTTAATCTCTAGCTCATTTGGACCTAGTTTACTTTTTATGCATCTTTGATGCATGCATATTTCAGTTTATTTTCATTTCTATTGTAATTTGAATATTATAATTTTTTGTTTATTTTTTATGCTATCCTATGATGGAAAACATCCAATGATCATGAGTAGGTAGTGCTTGGGCATGGCAAACCTTAGGTGTGCTAGCTTCTTGGGTTCTTTGGCCTTTTGGGCTGCTGTTGCTTCTCGGGTTTGGGATGTGTTCTTTGGGAGCTTCTTGGTTCCAGCTCATTATTATGAAAAGGTATTCTTTATGTTAGCTCATTAAGTGGAGTGGTTTCTTGCCTTTTCCTCTTCTTTTTGTCTCCTCAGTTTCTCCCTAGTGATGTTTCCCGTGGCTGGCTCTTCTCCCTTGCTGGGTGCTAATTCATAATGTCATCTGTCAGCCCACCCCAGAAAATGTTGCAAGTACTTCCGAACCAGTAACTGCTGCACAGTTGGAAGGAATAATCACAGAAAAGATCAGGGCTATTATAGCCGTTGATCAAGCAGAGAAACTATTGGGCAAAGGTCGTCCGTATCCTGTTGAATACGACCAAGTGCCGTACCCAAAAGGGTATTCTGTACCAAAGTTCAATACTTTCAACGGTACTAACAATCCCCGACAGCACCTGACACAGTTTAAAGCCACCTGTGGGAATACAGGAGGAAATGATGCCCTACTCTTTCGACAGTTCTTTAGTAGTTTAATAGCAACTACTTTCGAATGGTACGCTGAACTACCAAACGATTCTGTGAAGACCTTCGCACAATTAGAAAATATGTTCGTGAAGAGATTCGCCAGTGCAACAGAGAAGATAACGATCGCTGATCTCACTCTGGAGAAAAGAAAAAGAGAAGAATCAGTGACAAAATACATCACTCGCTGGCGAAATCTAAATATGAAATGTGAGCAGCAGTTAGAAGAAGAACATGCAGTACAGTTGTTAATGGGCAATATTGATGATAAGATGCAACCCTTCTTGTGCATGGCTACAATCAACACATTTCAAGACTTGCTCGACAGAGTTGCCAAATTTGAGAAACTGAATTTGTCCAGATCAGAAAATCACTCTGATAAGCCTAAGAAGACTAAGGCCCCAGGTGCTAGAAGGGGTGAGGCCGACTCTACGTTCTTCTCCAAAGCTGATAGAGAAAAGCAGGTGATTTACAATGTAGATAAGGGAAAGCAGCCGATGCAATATCAAGAAAAGCCTAAACAGGCCTACAACCCCAACCCCCAACTAAAGCTGATATTCGAGGGCAATGATAAGCCACGAACTTATCATGGTGGAGGAGAATGCCAGAGACAGATAATGGGAATTGGTGATAGAACGTTCCAATCTCTCAAAGATAAAAGGAATAAAGAATATTCATTTAAGAGGGAGAGTGACTCCAAATTATTTCGACAAGTGTTGAAATCGGGTTTAAAACTGCCTGAATGCAAAAGACCCGAAGAGTCGAAGCACACTAGTGACCCAAATTATTGCCCATATCATCGAGTACTCAGCCATCCTATTGAAGATTGCTACATCTTCAAGTATTGGCTTGAAAGAAAATATCAAAAAAGAGAACTTACATTATCCGACAATGTGTTGTCTCACCGTAGAAAGGAATCAACTCGGGTGGTCACGTCCTCTTCCGTACCCCTGGTTAAAGAAAGAAGAATAGAAAAGGAACCAGTTCAAGAAGAGCAATGGGAGACTGCGGTCTCCAAGAAAACTGTGAAGATGTTAAAGCAGCTTGAAGGAGTTCCAGGTGTAAAGTGGAAGTCTTCTATTGAGCCCATTATAAATTTGAAGGCACTGTCGGTGGCACGACCTTCTACTTTTAAATAATTTTTCAATCAAGCTGGTTCTTCAAAGACTGGAAAGATGAAATTATCCAAGAAGAAGACCAAGCTGAAGAAGCCAAAGGAGAAAAAGACAGCAACTCAGAGGGTTATTGGCAATTTGGATGAGTACTACCAGACTGTGAGGCAACCTATCAAGCTCGCTGACTTCATGCCAGAGTTTAAGATAGACGAAGCCGAAGAAGATGATGCGAATTCTCTTCCAACAGAAGTATGTCGGGTCATCTCAGTGGTGCCGAGTACCTCAGTAAAAGAAGAATACACTGAATAAGTATCAACTGAATCCTGTATGATGGTGTTGCCAATGGATTACAGTTCGGAAGAGGATTTGTATTTTCCATAGGGAGACGAATCAGACCCTAGCATAGCGTCTCGGATGGGACATGTAAACCTGGGTGGTGATTCTGAATCAACAGATGAGTCGCTGGACGCAACGATGGCTGGTTCTGAAGAAAATGTACAGTTAAATGACTCTGAACCGGAGGAGATTGCTCAAGTGCAGTTAAGAAGCGGCAAGATACTACGGTCTCCACCGAAGAAAGAGGTCTCCAACAAAGACAAGGAAAAAGAGATAGTTATCAACGATGACATTATTCCTGAAGATCCTAAGAAAAAGAAGACTTCAGCCAATGGGATAGATTATAATATTTTATCCCATCTAAGAAAAATCCCAGCACAACTCAGTATATACGATGCCCTGGTAATGTCTAAAGACCTTCGGGAGACTCTGATTCAGGCTCTCAAAGATCCCGAAAGATACAAGGCGTATTTTGCTGAACGTAGTTTGACTGAAGTTCTACAAGCTCGTAATGAGCCATTCATTACTTTCTCCGAAGAGGACATGATGCTTGGAACTGCAGACCATAACCGTCCTCTGTATGTTACTGCAAAGAACGATAAGCTGATCATCAGTCGAATCCTAATCGATCTTGGATCCTCTGTGAATCTGATAAGCTTGAAAGCACTGAGATCCCTCTACCTTGATGTTGAACACCTCGGGCCAGATAAAATGATGGTGCATTGTTTCAATGAAAAAGGGCAAAAAACCCTTGGATCATTCATGCTCCCTCTTGTATTTGGAGAGCTCCACATGGTAGCTAAATTCAATGTGATTGATGTGGATATTTCATTCAAGGCGCTACTAGGTCATCCCTGGTTGCATGAATATGGCATTGTCCCGTCAACATTACACCAGTGTATGAAATATCTCGAAGAAGGGGAAGAATTCAGAATTTCTGGTGACATTCAGCCCTTCACAGTTCATGAAGCAACAGTTTATGAAGATGCACGGTATTTCATGCGAAAGAAGCAAAAGTCTTCGAGTTCTCTTGAGGCTAAAGCATCAAATTCAAAGACTACAAAGCGACCTGAACGAGAAGGTCAGAAGGAGCTGGTGGGGAGAAAGAAGGCAATGTCGACTCTTCCCAAAGCATCGATCATTCCAAAAGAAAAGAAGCATGTACCTCATCTGGGGAGTGACATAGATGAAGATGATGCTACTCCTGCTAAATCTCGAAGAGTATGCCAGTCAACGAATGAATGGAGTAGGCAGGTTGAATTTTCAAATGATGATTATGACTACGATTCTATTTATATGAACACGGTGCAGAATGTGTTCTCTAGAAGAATTGTGAGCCTATCAATTTCAGATAGTGT